CTGCAAATGTTAATTAGATACTTAAAGCCAATAGCCACATATTTTTGAAGTCTTCCAGGAAAACAGACGAAAGCAAACAATGACTTCTGTGGCTCTATTTGGGAAGTATGTGTCTACGTGTTGACCCCATATTTCTGGAGATTGGCTGTTAGAGTCAATCTTATGCATTTCATTAAAGCTTAGAGAAATATACATTTTACTTAAGAGAGCTAGGTGTGTACTTGAYGCCTTAATTCATTCCACTGGGGGCCAAGGTGTGGGTGGGAGTCTTTCTGGACCCTGATCCTGAAAAACCCTTGACAAATTAACCCATTCTGATTCTTACAGATATAGAATATGATCATCTCTCTTTCCACAGAGAGTGTGTGGCAAGAGAAGTGAAGAAACAGTCCATTTCTCCAGAGGCATTTGTAAGGTGTTCCTCATAAACATGGACACGGGGCGGCATCTTCCAAGGGGACTGTTGCTGGCTTTTATTGCGCACTTTGTCTTGAAATACCTGATCTCCTCTGGCTGAGTGCTCACCCTGGCTTCAATGTGTCCCTTCCATTTTCCTCCCTGACACTTTTCACTAGCTTTGTGGCCTCACAAATGGCTTTTACAGGCCCAATTAAGGACCAGATTATGATGTTTACTTGATCCTGAGAGAGACGCTGGGCTGTGAGTGGACAGAGACTCCCTGGAAGCCTTGGAGTCTTGCAAGGTGCCCTCTAAATCTGCTGAGCAGAGAACCCCTCCCCCTGGCCCTTAGAGAATTCTAGCTACAACTGCCCCATTGTGTTCCTTCAGGCGGTGAATTGCTTTGCTRGAGGGAGTGTCGGTGAATGGATTTGGGAGCCCCTCTGAGACCAGTCACAATGGCCGGGAGAGCGACGGGGAGTGACAGCAGCTGCATGTGTGAGTAGCATGAATGCCCGGATACAGAGGCAGCCCAGGCCCTGTGGCCACCTGGGCCCTCGTTTTATTCAGAGCTACACAACTCATCTGTGGAGAGTGTTGTAAACAAACATGGACGTGGGCAAAATATCCTTCTTATCTTGCACAAATCAAGAATTTTCATGCTTGAGGCTCACAGGAGCCTGTTTCCAAACTGAGCCAGACTTTTAGAAATAACTATCTCCATAGACTTTGGGGAGAAAGGCAAGGCCCTTCTTTTAACCGTGCAGATATTCTGAATAAACTGTGTATACGTAAAATATTAAACTAAATTATTTGCTAAATCCAGTCTGCCTTGGTTTTTATTAATTTCTTCATTTGGGGGGCGGGGGAAATGTTTTCCTGAGCAATAATCCCTCAGACCAAAAGATTGCCAGATGTGAAGGAGATTGGCCAGCTTCTAGGGATTTTCCACTTGTGTTTTTTTTTTCCTATTATGTAATTGTAAACAGATATTACTCTTAATTTAAAATGGTTTAGCTGATAATTATATCAACTGATACACAAGAACGATGGAGCAGGAGGCACTTCTGTGTGAACTCAGACAGCAGCACCTGCTGTCCCATCACACCCTTTCTTTCCTGGGGTGAGGAGCTGTCTCCTGAAAGACAGGGTAACCTGAAAGTTGGATGCAACTTTCACAATTTCCAAAGAGGCATCTTTTCATTATAGAAAACGGACTGTTTGCACGATGCCATGATCACTTTTAATTCAGAAATTGTTGGCCCAACCTTCTAGTGAGATTACTTGGAATTTCAATCCTTATAAAAAAGGGACCCTTCTCCCCCATATCCACTACTTTTCCAGGGGGTGCCATGCCGGTTAGCAGTCGAGTCGTGGTGAATAAAATTCAGGCTCCTGGAAGCACATTTCTCTTCCACTGGTGCCTGGGATTACTTCATAGCATGTTTCTGAAAATGTCAATGCTATAATATAAGGTTGGTAATAGTAATCTGATTTCTTCACCTCAG